AGTCAGGAATAGAAGGCGTATTCAAGGAAATTGTTTTGTAAGGAATTAGAAGAAGTTTGTTGGCTCTCTTGGGAGGCCTTGGAGATGCCACTTCATTCTGATGTCATCATTGCCTGATCTTAGGTAGCTTTAATTGCATCTGCGAATGAACACAGGCCCTTTCTGTTTTGATCTTTACTAATAGTGATCTTGAATTTATTTGCATATCCTTGTGTGCTTGAATTCCTAGATTCACCAATGACAAGGCAGGCAGATTGCTTAGCGGAAGAACCGCGTCTGAGAGAAGATATTGCTAGCCCCATTAGTGTTTGTCGGGCTGTGTTATGTTGTTTTGCACCACTTTTTCCTCATCTATTTCTGGCTGCATTGATATGATCACACCCCCTTTTTTGAGGGACAGGAATTATCTTCTACAAATATGTCCTCTTGCAATGGTCATACTCGATTAGTCAACAACAAAACTTATTGATCATTATGGTGACTTTCAAAATTAAAATAATGTTCGGTGAATCATCAATTTTGTAACATAGAAGTGGTTCTTGGATCTCAATACCCAAGCCTTCCTCGGTTTGACAAGAACTAGACACTTAAAATTCATTCTCTATGTGTGTGTGTCTAATGGGTATGGTGATGGTAGTGTTGGTGGTTGGCGGTGGGTTCGGCGGCTGTGCTGTGGCTGGGGAAATTCTATGTCATTGGATAATTAATTAACAAAATTGTAATTAATAGGGTATAATTAGGTAATTATATACCAATACTAGAATTAATATAGTGATTAATAGTTAAATTGTGTCACTAATCCTAGTATTGTTTAATTATCAATAACATTTTGGTTATCGAATGTTTATTTTGGTAAAGTAGCATAAAATTATTTGTCGAAATTATAGTAATTCACAAAATGCGTAATTCAGAAAACTTGATGTAAGGTAGGGCTTCAATATAATTTTAGGGGTAAAATTGTCTTTGAATTCTCAAACTTAATTTACTAGGGCATTATTGGAATTATAATGATTTTCCATGTCACCAACTTTGACCATTAGTTTTTATTGTTTGTCGCGGTGGGGTTCTGTCTATGTAATTACAAAAAAGCTTACACAAATTGAAATCCTAAATCTAAGCTACATTATTGGCTATGAGTATCGTTGTAACAAGGCCCCTTAACCATATAAATCAACTTTGACAAAAAAGCTTTAAGGGTAGTGTGATTTTTACCCCAAATGAAAAATAAAAATATACAATTGAAATCCTAAATCTAAGCTACACTTCTTTCCGCTGGATCAAACCTAAAATCAATTGGCTATGAGTAGCGAGGTGCTAAGACCTCTTAAGCATATAAACCAACTTTGGGGCCCTAATAAATCGATATGGGATATAAACTCTCTTTACAAACTCCATCATGTGAGACCTGGACTCTTTGGGGCTACCAAACAAATAGGCGAACTCGCATACCTTGACAATTCAAATGGATAAGAGACTCGGTTCACTGACCACCCAAAGCTCAGCTCTGATATCGTATTAGAGTATTCAATCCAAAACCAATTGGCTATGAGTGGAGAGACCCCTTTAGCATATAAACCAACCTTGGGTCCTAAAACTTCAATGTGGGATACAAGCTCTCTTTAGATTGGGCACATCATCTGGAATATTGAGAAGATTGACATCTGTGACTAACTTCTTAAGAATGCAACACTGTTCAATTCCAGTTTAGCTTGCTTTAACATCAGGCTGAATCTCTCATCTAAGATTGGTCATAATCAAACCTCTTACATGAATTGCCTATATCCTTTTAGTTAGAATTGGTAGCTGGCAACTTTTCAAGAATGCCAGTCTATTGATTTTCTCATATGCTCAATAATTTCATGAGAAAATACCAAATAAGTCCTACTTTTCGTAACAAAAAATCAATAAGTCTTATAATATATTCATTAGAACAATCAAGTACTACTTTTTGTAATTTGTTCTAAATTAGTTCTTTTGTTTTTGTCAATATTCCAAATTAGTTTAGAGCTCCATCAATCATATCTCTATTGCAATTTTGCCCTTTCTTATTAAACAATCCGTTACACTTTTGGTCTCAATTTGTTTATTAAACAACTACTCTTTATTCAATAATTTCCTGATGAAGTTTAATTTATTTAGAAACCAAAAAGCTCCTTCCTCCGAATATATAACTTTATATGATGTTTACTTAAATATAAAATTTTTATTTTTGTTAAACTTGTTTAACAATTTCTATATCAAAGTTTTTTTAATCATCGTACTAAAGAAATAGACTGCACTTCAAATACCTTGTGTAACTTTTCAAGGATTTTTTTTGGACACCAAATCGTGCTAGTGATTTATGTGGAAAAATATTACTTTATTTATTTTGCGTCTTCATGGTTATTAATTTTTAATTTTTGGCTTTAGGATGTTTCATATGATGACACTAGAAATAATCCCATGCCTGATATTTTAAATAGTAAATTTTTTTTTTCTTTTCTTTAATTGTGCAGTTTGAAGTTAAAGTGAATAAAGAGAAAATGAGGGAGAGACAAATGAGGGAAAAGAGAGATATATGTGCAGATTAATGAGCTTGTTTGGCATTAAGGAGTGTGTTGGTTGGGTTGTTTGACATTGGGGTTGTATAGAGAAGATAATGTTTTCGAGTGTAAAAAAAAATTTGGGATGAATTTTGTACCATTGGATCAAAGTAGATGAAAATTGGATTAATTTTGACATTTGTTGTGCTTTTATAAGTTTAAACTTCAATTTCCTAGATGTAATGTTTGATAGATGTTTATAATTAGTTTTTTTAAGTTTAACGGTCAAGGGTGTCCTGGCCAACTTACGTGCACCTCGACTAATTGCTTTCTCGGTTCAATCAAAGGCAGATCATCTACACTGGAATTAGGATATTTATGAGGGATAAATCCCTCATAACCTGGTCCTAAGGAATTGCTAAGATTCGAATTCAAGACGTCTGGATTTACAGCTAGTCCTTGTTACCACTTGAGTTACCCATTAGGTTTACCCATAAAGATCTTGGTATCCTTGTCTCAAGTAAATGATCTAGGAATGTTGTGCAAACACATTATTTTGCTAGATAACAAGGGCGACCCTACACAAATGGGGGCATAGGCAAAAATATTAGATGAGGCCACAATATAATTTAATATAATAATATAGATACAACTATATAATTATTGAAATATTATTATTATGTATTTTAAAAATATTTTTCTTCCATTAATTGAAATTACAGAGAATTGAAATTTGTTAATATGGCGAAATTATTTTTCAAAGAACGAATGTTAGTAAGATGTTGAATATTAAACTACTTTTACTTATTATGTTTTCTAGCTATTTTGAGTGTTTATTGCGTGTTGTATAAAAATAACTAAACAAAAAGTTTGACACAAATAAAAAGGGCATCAAATTTAAGTTAATAAAAAAATATAATTTATAATACATAATTAATCATCCAATTGATTTTAATAGTAATAAATTAAAGTATTCTGTGATGAGATACCTCAATTTTTAAATATTCACATAAAAATATGTAAGATTGAGAAAACAAAGGTAATAAAAAACAGTTATTTGATCTTGTTGTATCAAAATTAACTCAACCTATACCTGTCCCATATTTAATGTTGTATAGTCGGGTTTTTATCATAGATAGGTTGTGTTTAGCAGGTTTGTGTCATGTTTATTTGGGTTTGTATCGATCTTTTTATTTGAGGGGTCTAACAAATCCATTCGTTTATCACTTGAATCTACTAAGGCTAAACTCATACTCATTAATTTTGAATCAATTTCTTGTCGGGTTTGCGTATCGCACCTAAAAATTGTCCTACTTAGTTAAAATTAAGGGTCCTAAAAAAATTTTAAATGATTCTAAATTTTTTAAGGGGCCTCAAATATTTGTATTTATTCTGGGGCCTTAATTGCCTATGCCTAGGGCTGGCCTTGCTAGATAATAAATGACTTATATGTAATGCATTAGTCATTAGAAGTCTTGGACATGGAATGAAATGAGCTATCTTAGAAAATCTCTCAACTACATAGGTTTGCATTTAAATTAATGAATTTGCCCTATATTACTTTTCCTTAAATTCACTTTTTCTTGAGCTTTTTATGGACTTTGTATCCGATACATTAATTATTATTTTGTATTTAGTGAAATTGTTGTCAAGTTAACTTTGTGATAATACTAAATGCATTATATGCAAAAGACAGTCCGATCCATGAGGTTCCTGCCACTATAGAGTCTAGGGTTGGTTAGATGCACATGGCCTTACCTCCACAAGCGAAGAGACTGTTTCTACGATTCAAGCCCTAGACTCCTAGGTCATAATGGAGCAACCTGATTGTGTGTGCCTAAGCCCACCCTCTACTGCATGCATCATATGCAACAAATAATATTGCTGAATATATAATCTAAAAGGAAATATTGGTACATATCGTAAATAGAAATGTCTTTTGTGGGTTATCCCCATTGTTATTACAAAAGTCATCTTCCTAATGCAGTCTCATAAAAAACCCCAAAGTCATGTAAGGATCTAACCTACCGGGTAAATCATTGATCGGCCAGGCCTGAAGAGAGGGTTGTGGGGAGGCTTGGGTTTGGGCTTACCCATTCCAGTATGCAACATGAAGCTATCGTTGCTCTCTCAAAGGAGAGCTCTTATGTGATCTTCCAAGTGTGAAATCTTCTAAGATTACAGAATGTGGAGGTGCCAATATTTTAAGCAACAATTATATAGTTGTCACTAAAGTCCAGTCATTAGGGTGTGTTAGTCATTTACATCTGCTATATGGAGTTGCTTGCTTGTTCTAACCATATGTATCAGCTGATTGTTTTTTCCTCAATATTTTGATGAAAAACTTGCTACTGTCAAGTTGTTTTTCATGTTCACCCTGTTTAATTGATACCTAAACTTGTTTTCTTATGTCTATAACAATTTTGGCTTTGATACTGACTTGTTTTTGGCCCGAATGTGAAGGAAGTTAATAAGGAGATGATCTATATATGTAGCCTCCATTTAGGGGAGAGGGTGATTTGGTCACTGGAACCTTTGCAAATCATCCCTTTGGATGAGGTAATCTGTTTGTTTATCTTTTTTTATTCTTGAAGGATGGATGTCTAGTTCGTGTTAAATGCCCATCTCTTGTATTCTTTCAGGCCGGACTTATTGATGTTAAACTTACTTCAAACAAAATATGGGTGCTAAAAGAAGATCAGTTGGTAATGCATGACTTGTTTGGTCAAAATATTAAAGAGTAAGTATTTCAATGCCTTTTACTTATTTATTGATCATGTTCAAGAGTAGTTTTTATTTGTGCCTTGAAATTTTGTCAGGTAAACTGGAAAAACTAAACACCACTTTTATATCTATACTATTTCCCATTTAAAAAATGTGCAAATCACAAAACATTGAGTATAATTTGGCTTAGATACTTGAACTCTGACTTTAGTTGCTCGTTAGTGCTGCTGCTCTTTTCCTCTCTAGTAAAAGTTTTTTTTTTTTTTTTTTCTGATGGTACTTTCAAGTAAATGTCATCTTCATTTTATTTTGTTTTCTGTTTTTCATGAAATCTTGCAATGCATGATGATTTAAACTGTGAGTTATGTAGATATTGTTTGCTATTAGGGATGAAAATTGAGTCATGTTGGAGTCATGCCATTTTGGGTTCGTGTTGAGCATTAGTCAACCTTAACCCAACTTATTTAACAAATCATGTCAGATTTTCCTACCCAACCTATTTATTACTGTGTTGTGTTCGAATTGATCTGTAAATGGGAGAAGTTTAGAGGAAGATCTAAGAACCAAGAGGAAAATGGAGCTCGAATCCATAACTTTCTACATGCACCCACAATTCGTTAGCAGCAACCTTACCATGCATCATTACCATCGGTTATTTCACTCTAATCTACAGTAAGCAATATCCTTCGCAACTAGAGGAGAAATTTGCTTCTTTTTTGTCTTTTCATTGGCATCAAAGTCTGGGAAATATAATACTAAGTTCCCATTATTTTTGAATGAAACCCACCACTCTCAGTTTTTTTCTTTTGCTAAAAACCTATTTTAGTCCATATAATTGCAAAAATAAGTAAAAAAAACCCTTCAGTTACAATAATTCATATCAATGTGTGATAAAGATGAATCAGTTATTTTATTCATACAATACAATTTAAACGTATCTATTGTGTCAAATTTGGATTATTAATGTTTCATACAAACTTGACCCGCTTGCTATTTGTGTTAGTAGGTTGTGTCGTTTTTAGGTTGGTGGCAACCCTTACCTGGTAATTTTGTGTCGATTTCGAGTTGAGTAAATATGTCATGTCCAAAATTGCCATCCGAATCTACAATGTGCTCTTTCTTTTATTTTTTCCTTGAACTGCAGTGCTTACGATTGCTTCATCAGTTGTTACAGTTTGTATTATTACATTTCATTTCTTATGTGTGGGGATTTTCTAGTCTTATTGTTTTCTTTTTGGATATTTGAATTTAATCCATTCTATATTTTAATGTTAGGGGAGTAGCACATTGCTATCCTTTGCAGGAGGTTTTTGTTGCTGACCTGCTATTCCAAAGTTCTGAACATTATCCAGATGATCTTTTTTGGCTTGCTCATACTGTATGTTCATCATTGAAGGTAATGCAAAAATCCTTGCAGTGTTAGTTTCCATTATGCCTTCTGTTCCAAAAAGTTTTACATAGAAGAGTCTTAATGAGTTATCCAAACCAGTTGGGTTGTTCCTTAATTTGAGCACTTTCTTCATCAATTATCTTTCAGGGGAAAACATTGTGTTCTTGTCTCAAACTTATTGCTTTAAGTTTGTTGCACTGTTAAAGTTTTCATCATTGCTTTGAAGCTTATTCGTACATTGAGTTTGATCCAACAGAAAACACATGCAAAAACATTCTTATTAGTTGGCCTTGTTCAAGGATGTTGAGTTGTATAGAAGTACACTTGGTTGTTAAATGTTTGATAAGGCACTTGATAGTTAAATTGGTGGTCAAATGATGTGTGTTTAATTTTATGGAAACTGGACAAAGTTTGTTCTTATTTAAAATTTAATAGACGTTTAGTATTAATTTCAGAGCACTGTACATCTACACTTTTCCATTTAGGCAATGAAGGGTGAGCAGGTGGGTGTTGTATCTGTGCCATGGTTCCAATTCGTGGTATTGGATATCAACTCAAAGGGCATTGAGACGTCTTGGTCTTGGCATTACGGAACATTATTGAGCAATACGTATGAAATGCTATATAGAAGAAGTTAAACATGCCGAAACATTGCGAAACACTCAAAGCATTGGAATTTCGAGGTATTCCATAATGTTTTGAGATGTTTTGTACTATTTTAATGCTTTTGCACAATTGTTTCGGAATGTTTCAAGATATTTTAAGATGCTTTGATATATTTCGACCAATATTGTGGAAAAATAATTCTTATATTTTTTATTTTATTTTATTTGTGAAATGGGTCGAAATGTTTTCGAAATACATCAAAACATTTTCATTTCCTAAGTGACTGAAACAATACCCCGAAATGAAATTTTGATCCTTGTCCTTAGAAGAGAGATTTGGTCACATCGTTACGTCTATGAACGGTATAGGCCAATTCAGTGGCGATATGTCGGATGATTTGGGTTGACTCGAAGGCGTCTTGGGTGACTCTGTTGCGCGGCATGAGAACTTGTGATACAGTATAAGACCGAAAGGTGCCAAGTGGAGTATGACTTAGCCAATCGTTATCAGCTAATTCTTTAATCTATGTTCTGTTCTATAAAACTTTTGTTTTGGGCAATGTTAGTTTTAATCAAGGAAGTTATGTTCCTACTGCCAAAGAATTATCTCACTGCAACAGTGTTTTCTCAAATTAAAATTCTCGCTTCTTGCTGTGCACTCTTTTTCCGACTTACGTTTCTTTTTGGTCTCTTGTATTATACATAGAAAAAAGGACCTAAATAGCAATGTCTGTTAATAGATTTTTGTTTGTATAAATAGATTTGCTGTTGACAATATTTTGCAGGACCAAATTGCCCCATTTGTGTCTTCTATTTTCTTGCGTCGGTTACTTCTTCCGGGGGTTCATCAAGATACTGTTGTCCGAGCTACATTTCAAGATTACAACAGGCACTTCACTGATTCTGAGTTTCATTCTTTAACTGTTGATGGACTGAAAAAGGAAATCCTTTCCCTTATCGAGCATGAGGTTTTTCTTTGTGCCTTCTAATTATCTCACTTAGCTTGCTCTCTACCAGTGCTTTTGAAGTTGAGTTATATTTTATTCCGGGTTTTTTCTTTTTTTGGGGGGGAGGGTGGGAGGTTGTGATTCAGTAGAACTGATAGCCCTTTATTTTCTCATAGGTTGTCGCCGAAAGTCCAGTTTCAGTACTTCATCACTGGAAAACCTTTTGCACGCGCTATTTCCATAATTGGTGCAAGCACAGTGCAATGTGTGGTTTGCTCATTGATTCCTCCATGGGTGGCATTGGTTTGATAAGAAAGAATTCAATCTCTCTATTCCGTTGTTTGGAAGATATAGAGCTTCTTAGCATCAGTATGTTGGTTATCATTATTGTGTCAACTCTTAAATTTTCTACATAGACTTTCTGACAAGTTTGCTTCGTTGTCACTTGTGCATCGAGGGTTTGAGTAGTGAAAATAGGCTTTCCACATGCAGGAATAATTCTGTGTATATTTGACCTTCCTTAGACCTTGTAGTGACGGGAGCCTCGTGCACTCGGCTGCCCTTCTTTTAGCTTTCTAACGAGTCTGGTGACATTGTTTCTTACATAAAATAATTTATTATTCATTGTCTGTCAGGTTCTTTTGATGAACTTGGCGATGTTATAAGCTCTGGCTTGGATTTTTCTGATGATGATCTTAAATGTGAGATTCTTTTTGAGGTGCTCCAATGCATTCGTAATGTAAGCCAGCAATTGGGCAAAGCTGCTACAGCTATATTTTACGAGTTACTTCTTAGTGCACCAAATGTGGCTACAGAAGAAGTCATCCCTCGTTTACTGAAGATGTTAGATATTGGAGATAATTCATCGATAGCAGCTCACCATGTGTCGGAGCTGGGAGCTCATATTGCTAGGAAGAAGGACTTGGCTAACCACAAAAATATAAGGAAATTCTCGACAGATATGTTTTTATCACTACATACTTTGTGCAGTAAAGCTACCTCGTGGGGCAAGGTTTTGGATGTCATAGAGAGCTACTTAAAATTTCTTGTACCTCGTAAAACTGTTCAAAAGTTGAATTCAGAAGCAGTATTTAATATCAATACTTCCATCACGGTGCATGCTACTTCTCAAATAGCAAAAGTGACCTTTGAATCTGCACTGGACATACTTCTGTTGCTAATCTATCTGGTTAGGATAAGTGGGCAGGTGAGTGTTTATTTTACCTATCGTAAATGATACAGAAGAATATTTTAGTTTTACATATTTATATTTTTTGTCTTCGTCTGTAATAGCTGTATTTGACGTCACCCTGTTTGCCAACATTGGTGTTAAAGTTATATGTCCTTGTGTAATAAAGTGTGTAACACCCAAAGGTAAAATATATTCTTTCATGTGCATAATGGATAAAAATATCTGAGTATATCTTTCGGTGATGTTTCTTTTATATAGTGGCAGAAAAAGTTTTAATATGTTTAACTTACCTTTTTGAGAAATCAGCCTCAAGTTGTTGATTGGAAATCCAAATTGCCTCCTACTCATTGCTTTCAAGTTTATTTCCTTGTCTATTTTGGCTCTCTTGTTATCAGGGTAATTTAGTGTTGCTTATTTTGTTAGGTCTAATTCTTATCCACTTTCCGGACATTGTAATACTACAGGAAACCAAAAAAGAAAACATATCTTGTAGGTTGATAAGAAGTGTTTGGGGGCTTAGGTTTAAGGAGTGGGTCCTTTTGCCTTCTTGTGGTAGGGCTGGTGACATTCTTATTATGTGGGATGCTACGACTGTTCAGCCTTAGAGTCAGGATTAGGAGTCTATTCAATTTCAGTGTAAAATGAAAGATGGGAGATATTGGTGGTTGTCGGGGATTTATGGACCAAACAATCCTCATTTCAAGAGGGATTTTTGGGAAGAGTTAGCGGGTTTGTGGGGTTCATGTGGTCCTATGTGGTGCTTGGGGCGTGATTTCAATATCAGTAGATTTGTATCAAAAAAATTGAATGGACGTAGGGTCAACCAGAAGCATGAAAGATATTAATGAGTTAATTATGGGAACAAGATTGATAGATCCTCCTTTGAATAATGCACTTTTCACTTGGTTGAATGGTCGGATGAATGTGGTGTATAGAAGATTAGATATATTTTTGTGCTCGGCGGGGTGGGAGGTATTTTTCCAAACGTGAGACTTGATGCACTCGTTGGGGTAGTATCTGATCGTTGTACTATCATGCTAGATTTTAATGTATTCATGTAGGGTCCAACTAGATTTTAAAATATGTGGTTGGAGCATTATATGTTTAAAATAAGTTTTAAAGAATGGAGGCAAGATTCTTTAGTGCATCGATGAGAGGGTTCTAATTTAAAGAAGAAATTGGAGAATGTTAAAAATGAGTTGAAAGTGTGGAATAGAGAAGTTTTTGGGGATGTTAGAATGGAAAAGAACAAAAATTGCAATCGTATATAGGAGTTAGATTGAGTTGAGTGTAGGGGGGTTGAGTGAGGAATTGAGTGAAAGGAGGAAGCTTAGAAATAGATTTGAGGAAGTGGTGTTTAAGGAAGAAATTCCATGTAGACAAAAGGCAAAGATAAACTGGGTTAAAGAGGGGGATAATAATTCCAAGTTTTTTCATAAGGTAGCAAATGGGAGGAGTAAGAAAACACTTATTTCAAAGTTGGATGTGCGTGATGTAATTGTGTTAGAGGATGAAGGGAGAATTAAGGAAAAAATTATTAGGTTTTTCAAGAAGGTCTATTTGGATGATGGAGTTGAGAGGTCGAGGGTTATGGGTTTGGATTGGATTGGAGTGGAGTTCTATTAGTGAAGAGAGTGCACGTTGGCTTGAGCGACCATTTGAAGGGGGTGAGATGAAGGAGACAATTTTTGAGTGTAATATGGAGAAGTCACTAGGTTTGGATGGTTTCTCAATGGTAGTATTTCAAGATTGTTGGGAGTTCATTAAGGATGATTTGATAAGTCTGTTCATGGAGTTCTTTAGAAATGGGGTGGTGAATGTCAATACGAATGCAACATACATTTTCTTGATCTCAAAAAAGTACGAGTTTGACTTTATGCCAATAAGCTTAGTGACTAGCTTTGATAAGGTTTTAGCAAAGGTTTTATCACGAAGGTTGAGGAAGGTTTTGGGAGATACTATTTCTAGATATCAATGGGCTTTTGTTAGAGGGAGACAAATTACCGACATAATTTTAGTTGCAAATGAAGTAGTGGAGGAATATATAGCCAATTGGAAAGATGTGTTTCTTAAGATTTATTTTGGAAAAACATGACCATGTGAATTGGAAATTTTTTGATTTTGTTTTTAAGCTAAGGATTTTGGAAGTAGATGGAGGAGGTGGATTAGGGAGAGGTTACAGTCCATGAATTTTTAAGTGGTGCTTAATTGAAAACTGCTTGAGAGAATTAATGCAACTAGGGATCTTAGGCAAGGGATTTGTTGTCACATTTTCTCTTTACTAGAGGATGGGCTTAGTAGGTTATTGGATAGGGCTAGAGGTTATAATCTTATACTGGGATTCCGGGTAGACAGAAATCTTGTGGAGGTGACACATTTACAATTTTGCAAATACAATATTTTTCATGTCCGGGGATGAGGAAAAATTTTAAAATTTTGTAAAAGTCATTTGAGGTTTTTGGAGTGATGTTGGGTTTGAAAGTGATATGTCTAAGAGTTTAATAGTAGGAATTAATATCCAAAAAGAGAGGCCAGATAGTATTGCAAGTAGTTTAGGGTGTGAAAATCGGGTGTGGTCCCTAAAGTATTTGAGCTATCACTGTGGAGGGAGGGAGGGGGGGGGAACCCTTTTCGGTGGGTTTTTGGAACCTAGTCATTGAGAAGGTCGAAAAGAGGTTAGAGTGGTGGAAAATGGCTTTTTTGTCAAGGGGATGGAGACTCACATTAGTTTAATGAGTATTTTTTTTTTCTTCTCATTTTAAGATTCCTATAAAGATTGCTTGTAGAATTGAAAAATTGACGAGATATTTCTTGTGGAAAGGAAGTGGAGAATAGAAAAAAGATCATCTTGTTAGGTGGAAGGTAGTTTCCAAATCAAAGTGTGAAGGGGCTGTGTGGGTGGGAAATATAGTGAAGAGAAATACGACATTGTTAGGTAAATGGTTATGGAAATTAACACTTGAACTGGGCACCTTACGGCACGAAGTAATCAGAAGTAAATATAAACTTCATCCAAATAGTTGGGACTCGATGTCCTTGGAAATTCATTTCATAGGGTATAGAAGAGTTCCTGAAGCATGTTGGATTGGTTGTGGGGAATGGTGAGAGAATTCGGTTCTTGAAAGATATATGGGTGGGTGATTCTTCACTTTTAATGTCTTTTCCGCGTCTTTTTAGATTGACTCGGTTTCCAAAAGCCTCCATCGGTAGTATATTGTGATTCTTCAAGTCAAGGAGGTTGGAACTTTTATTTCTTTAGGTCTTTGAATGATAGGGTAGTGTTAGAGCTCTCCTCTTTTTTGTCGTTACTCCAATCGGCTTCCCTAATGCCAGGGTATAAAAGAATGTGGATTCTTGATTCATCTAGGGGCTTTTCTTTGGATATTGTACTTCTGTGCTTTGTTCAATGATCAATCAGCTCCTAAGTTTGAACCCCACGAGATGATTTAAAAGACCAAAGTACGGGTGAAAGTGTAGGTTTTGGTTTGGGCTGTAGCTCGTGGAATTGCATAGATCAGCTACCCATATGAGAAAAGATTAAATAAAAGGCAGAAAAGCAAAAGTGGGAGAAGAAAGAAGAAGTTAAGACCCAAAGGAAAGATGGTTCTCTATGAAACCTACATGTAAAAGCTGAACCAAAGCAATATAAGTTGCAACCTGGTACACAATCACTATGAGTTGCAAAGACTTCTCTTCTTTTGCTTAGAGCTCTAATGGCGAAGCCATTACCATCTCAACTCTCAAGTCATTTCCCTCACTCTCTCTTTTTTGCGCTCGCGCGTGCTTTTATGGTTTGGATACCGAGGTTTCTTTTACTTTTGGATAATAAGGAATCTATCTGCCTTTTTTATGTTTTAAATGAGCCTCTCTTTTTGTTTCGTTAAATAGTAGGCCTTCTCACTGCGTAGATGGAAAATTGCATTAATTTTACAATAAGAAACGATTTATTAAGTTTTATTTTTCCAGCCTGATTATATTATTTAATTTTGAATGATTGACATATGAGTTGATATATTGCATAGTTAATATGTTTTATTAATCAACAATGTTACTTAAACCTAATTTGTGAACTTAATCTGAAGAGTTGATCTATTGTTGTCACTTGATTGTAGTGAATACATACAATAGCAGGATTGACGTAATTTGGAGAACTAATCTATTGTCACCATTGTATTGATAGTGGATCCCATAAAATATTATGACCCATGGTTTGATCCTCTCACAAAAAATATGGGATTCAGTCCCCCGTAAATTACATCCTACTAGTATTAATCTTTATAGGTATATTTTTGATAGCTCTCTTGCATTCTATATAGCACATATGATACTTAGTGTACATTTAAACATTTGTTTTTATTATTTTAAGGGCCTTCTAACTTGCATTTCGTGCATATCAGTCGATAACTCGTTGCGATGCCATGACTGATGGTGTCATTGCCATCTGAATTGACAGGCGATACCGCGACTTTGAACATGAGCAAGTATCTGGGCATCAATGTCATGTGTTGCTTCTTTTGGGTTTTTTTTTTTGGGGGAGGGGGTACCATGTTTGTAATGTAATCCTGCAATCAATCATATGTGAGAACTAAAGAAGATACTTTCTTAAGGCTTGGGACTTTTGTGATTGTGTGGAAGATATGTCATTAGACATGGACAGGCAAAGTCAGTGTACGCAATTCTTAACTTTCGAATCAAGCTTCTTTGCACATGATTTTTTTCCATTCTAAGTAAGAATATAAAAGATATTACGTGATCTAGGAACCAGCTGGGTACTGTTCCGGTCACACCCAGCATGAGGACACTCCGTTGCTATCGAAAATAAGTCTATTGCTTGAGTACTTTTTATGTTTTCTTCTTTTTATCAATGTTGGCATAATTTTAATCATTCATGCTTGAACTTTCTTAATGCTACTGTTAGAAAGTCTGATATGATATTTTCATGCTTAGGAATGCAAAATTTACTGTCCTTGACTTTTTTTGCAGATTCATATGACATGTATTGATGTTTCCAGAATACAACTTGAGTTGGTTCCTATGATACAAGAAATTGTTACCGAGTGGCATATTATCCATTTCCTCGGGACCACTCCTTCAGAATCTCCTGCCATTGAAGATTTTAGTTCTCAACTTTCATCTTTACAGATTGGTAGGTTCATACTGCTTTCTTGTTGCTGTGGCAAGCCTTTTCTGTTGCTTGGGCAGACTGAGAGATATCACTATTTATTCTAATTGTATGATGATCCAGTCATATTTTACAAAATCCAGTCACATTGATTTTTTTTTTTTTTTGCTTCTTGTAGTTTCATTATAAGTCTTTAGATTGAGACTTCATCCATCATTGTGAAATATGTTTTATTTGGTAAAAAAAAAAAAACATATCAAAGGTCTAGCCTTTCATTTGGATCATAAACACCCATCACTACTTGGAATGTCAGATACATGTAGGCATATCTATAGGCTAGTATTTCATTTTTTCGAGGATACTGAGTAGGAGATCATGTCAGCCTTTTTTCTGAACGTGTTGCTTAGTAGTTTTCATGTTTGTGTTCTTGGTAGATAATAACATTGAGAAGAGATCATGGAATGAGAAACTTGGCAAATGTGACTTCACATTGGCTTTTATTCTATTGCTAAATATGCGAAGTTCCTCTGAAGACCAGAGCTTGGCATGTATTCCAGATCCTAGCAGCATTGTTAGGTCAGTAAGAGACTTTACTAGCTGGATAATATGGGGAAGGACTGGAGAAGAATCATCTGTTTTCTTCAGCCATTCAATTGACCTTGCTTTAAGCTTACTCAAACATGGCCAGTATGATGCTGTTGAGGTTTGTTACTATGCCCTTTATTTCCTACTTTGCTTATAGTACTTCCTTTAAGTTGTTTTATGCATGAAGAAATATACTGAAGAAAGTTCTTGTTCCTTTCCCAAGTACCTGCTCACTACAGTGGATGCACATTCATGCAAGGAGAAAATATCTGAAAGCCTTCAGATTGTTAATGGTGAATGGTGCACACTTCTCCATCTTCTGGGCTGTTGTATTCTTACCCAGGCACAACGTTTATCACATGGGGAGCTGAAAGGAAAAAAAGTTTGCGAAGCTGTTCGTTGCTTTTTTAGGTGTGTAAATTCATATAGATTTCGGCCACTTCATAACATTATTCCCTATGAAGCACGGATACGGATAAGAGATACGGAAACGATACGGATACGGCAAAATCTAAAAAAAATGATACGAGTACGACTAGGATACGTCCATAAAATATATATTTTTTAATTTTATTATTATATTTAATATAATAATTATGATTTATAAAGTGAATCACACATCTATCAAAGATATAATAATAACTAACCATTCTATTATCCAGAAATCATACATTCATAAATTTTTTTTTTTTCCAAGTAAGGGCCCAATATATTTACTTTGGTGCTCCTATTCTTTTTAAAAAATTTAAGTAATATCCCGCTGTATCCCTGTCGTATCCTTGATGTATCCCTTGCATATCCTAAAGTATACAAAATTCAAATTTATTTTTTTAATTCTAGGATACTTCCCAGTCGTATCGGATACGTATCCGGCCATATCGGACGCGTATCCGTATCCGGGAAGTTTCCGATACCAATACTTTGACCCTTTTTAAGTATCCGTGTTTTATAGATTATTTCATGTTAAGAGTTACAATTTATAAGCATTAGAGAGTTTGAATGTCCAATATCTAGGCTGGTGAGTAAGTGTATAGGTCATGTACAGAGCAGCTCTGAAGTCCGAGTAGCGCATTTTTCATGGCTGTAGATTCTAGGGTTGGTGTTCTGGTCAGGAAGTCTAATGGTTGCAATACATTGACTTTACTCTTTCTAATTGTTTCTTGTTCAAAAAAAATATCCTATCTACACGGAGATGTTCAAAGACCAAGTTCCAATATGAGAAGGAAAGCAGTTATAAAATTCCATAAATTCTATCTTCACGGGGGTGTTATGAAGTGTTCGGAAGTTGGAATTGAAACTTCTTTATATCTAAAGATCACATACTATTGCGATTGGAGTGCATTTGCAAATTTGGCCCTCCAATATGTATGGGGATTTTGACATGTGCATTTTGATGAATCGTTTAGGTTGCACTTTCTCTCCCATCCCTTCTTCTTTCTTTTCCCTCTTAAGTACATTGATGTGGTTATATCACCTCTGTGTATGTGTCTGTGGGCTGCTTCTTTATTTATTGGTTACCTATTTTTAAGTATTTGCATATGTTTTAAGAAGACGACAAACCTAACTTGAACCTGAAATCCTGAAGTATTTTTCACTCTTAGCAATCTAACTACAGCTTGCAGTTCTACTTAAAATAAATGCTTGTTGATCTTGATTCTACACTTGACTAATTCTCCCCACATCGAGTGTTTTGGCTTAGCTACACATCAAGACAAAGTTCAGTGGGCCTATTACTAAGCATTTTAATAGTTATCTTTGAGTAGTATTATTGGGGATTGGATTGCAGAGTTTTTTCTACCAGGAGGAGAACTTGTGTAATCTCCTTCTTTAAATTAGTTCAACCACACCATTGAGGCAGTGGTTAGAGTGCGTTTTAGGAAGACTTTGAAATGCCTTATCATTAGGTATGCTTCAGTGTTCAACTGAAGAGAGCTCTAGCAATGCTATGATTTTATGATGTGGGTAATGCTTTATGGCTTTGTTTTGGTGCTAGGATTTCAATTTGCTTTCAACTCTCGAGATGGTTGAGTGGAATACCAAAAGTGCAAAAGGTTTGAGATGGATGTGCTTAATCTTGCTGGAAGGTGAGGATGTCAATCCAAAACCTAATTTTATCATGGAGAGGCCATGCCTTAAAAAAGAAAAGAAATAGATTTGAAGATACATAAGAAGCCCTAGAACAAGAGTGAGAGAGACACTCAATTGAAGAAGTGAAAGTGACATGTCCTGTTGGTTAGCCGAAGAGCGTCCTTATAAATGAATGAGAAGTAGGCTTGGGCTATTTTGCTAGAGTTATGTTTATTTCACCTCCACACACCTCTATTTTTAGATTTTAATTCCATTCCTAATCTTCCCTCTAAGTGCCTATTGACAGTTATCTCCTCTTGACTATAGTTGAATGAGAGTTTCATTTCCCAAGTTGTAGATAATGATGTTTATTGAATCCCCATGGTCCAAGTCCTTGCATAATTTGTGGAGTAATTAATCACTAAAAAGGATTGAAATATAAAAAAGAGACTCTTTTCTTCACAAGAAAAACTCACAAAACGTATAATCAAATAATTATCTTCCATAAAACTCGATTGACTCAGACAAACTAGTTTCCAACTCAGCTGATTCGTAAAGGAATCTCATACTAGTCACACGAATGCATGAAAGAAGCAGAAGAGGAACAAAAAGTAAAGGAAAAATTGAGACCTAAATGGATTCTATATGAATCCCACATGCAAGGCTAAATCGAAGAAATATATTTGAAAAAGAAGAAATTGAAAGCATGCCATGGGTATTGAAGTCATTGCGTGTTCCTTCTTATTTCTCTTCTTTTTCTTCACAACTCTCAACAATCCCAAACTGGGTACCGACGAAGATGGTCCACGAGTCCTCGTCTGTTGGATTGGAACTCTAATTGTGTAGCGCTTGCCCCTCCCCCTGTCTTTCTCTCTCTCATTTGTTTGTATTCCCCTTTCCTTTTGTTTTAAACGATGGTGGCTTATTTTGGTAAGGATATCATATATTTTTGTCAAGATATTAATGGTATTTATGTTATGTATTGTAATCTTTAAATCCTTTTTTCTTTTGTTTGTGAAGCGTGTCCTATTTGGGTAAGTGGAATGTCATATTTATGTAAAGTAATAAATTGTATTAGTGAGATAATAATAAATTAATGTATTTATTTTAATTTTTTGGGACAATCTAAATTGGTACAATTATAAATGATTACTTCTTTCAATTTTTTTTGGGTCCAATTGTATTGTTTAATATTGAATTTATCAACGCTATAGCTTATATATTGCATTTTGACTTAATATGTTTTATTACTAAATCTACTTAATATAGCTCGTTATATCCGCTAGCACCCTTCCATTTCATTTGCAGTATATTCAACATGCTAGATGATGGCATATGATACATAAATGATATTTATATTTTCTAAAATTTGTGATTTATTTTAGAATTTTTTTGGGCTTTCTATGTATCATTTTACGCGTATCAGCTAATATTGTATTGCAACACAACGGCGGGATGTATTTGAGTACCCTTTAAGTCGATGGCCGATACCACGACTTTGAACCATCGTGTATGACGTTTTTAGGGTAGTATTAAGATCTCTATCTCAGTGGATCTTCGTCATTTTGATTAGTGGTGGAAGAAAACTAATGATTCTATTAAATGGAGCTTATCTAAAGTCTTTCTTAAGCAATATCATGGAAAAAGTTATTGACTTTATGTGGAGTTGAATACTAATGGGAAGTTTCTTACAATTTTTGGAGTTAACTTTGAACAGAAAAGATTTGTCTTGGAATTATCAGATGCTTAGAAGGAACTCTGTCATAAGTGTTGAAGTTAAATACTTAAGTTATATCATTTCCAACAGTTTAAATTTTTTGAGTAGATATTTGTTTGACATGGTATTAAAGCAGAAAGTCTTGTGTTTGAATCTGGCCGCCACACTAATTATTAAAAAGATTTTCACGTGCTAGGTCTAAAAATATAACCTGCACGTATTACACCCTCTCCAACAATTTAAGTTTTTGGAGTGGATGATTGTTTAATAATAAGGAAGGAGAATATGATGTTGGCTAGGAATGGACGGGGTTTAGACAAATAGAGGTTCCTCTGTTGGGCTTGTTATGTCTAATAATAACTATTCAGCCCCTGTTGTTGCAACTATGAGAATTTATGTTGTGCAATGGTGCGCTTCAGACAAAATCTTTTGGCTTCTCGATTAAAATTGTGATGGCCTGATGACTATAGCAAAAATTGAAATTTAATGTTTAGCTCCAACCTTTCTAGGTCGAGATGGCAATCATTTTCTATGAGGGTGCTGAGGAGGTTGAAGATGTTTGCAAGAATGAGGTTTGATATTTGGAAGGACCATTCCTAGGAGGGTGGATTCAGATCCATGGGCTTGCATTTCATTTATTGTTCAGCGGTGTGTTTAAGAAGATTGGAGAATTGTTTGGAGGTTTGGTGGAGGTGGATCATATGATGCAAACCATGGCCTAGTTATTCTAAGCCATTATCAAAGTTGAAAGGAAAGGACGTATAAGGGCTTTATTCAACTTTCATTGGAGGTTATGTTGCATGGGTAAGTCTTACTGACTAAAAGGTGATTTCTAGACTGTCCAAACCGTTTTAGGATTGCTAGACATGATAGAGGTGTATATGTGGGACGATTCCTCCACTCTGCGTGAGGTTGGAAACCAATGATGTCGGAGGAAGTGGCTACATGGCGGAGGAACTAAGAGTGCACAATGCATCCCTTCAACGAGAATTTGATCAATTAATAAGGTACCACTCATCCAAACTATCTAATACCTCAATTTCCCTCAATATCTCATTTTTTGTAATTCTAGCATCGCCCAAAACCTGTGTTCCTTACTTTCAATTCATCCTTCACCTCCCTCAATTTCTTCCTAAATTTAAAGTTCTCCCACCCATTCACTTCATAACTCTTCCCCATTCCTAACAGAAACCAACAAAAGCACATGAGATAACCACATATTTTCAGATCTAAACGATGTAGGTCCCATCCCCACTCCACCGTGCTAGACTCAAGAACAACAGGAAAATGGTTAGACAAAAGTCTAGGCATGATCTTCTACACCTAATTTGAAAACAAATCCTCCCACTCATTGCAAAAAATGAACCTATCAATCCTCATGACAATAATATTATTGATACACACCATGTAAATTGAAAATTGGAAAGGAATATTCCTCAACCGACATTCAGAAATAAGTGAATTGAACCTCCTTATGCTAGTAGTAACTCTAGAACCACCCAACTTCTCCCTTCAATTTCTGATGTCATTAAAGTCTCACTCCATGCCCCACGTTGGATTACACAAGCCATACACATCATACTATTCATTCGAGAAAGAGGACCTAATCCTTGCTCCAGAACTTGAGAAGGACCGGCATAGAAAACTGGCTACCATGAAGGAATTAACACCCAATTCTTGTACATAGACTCTCAACCACTCCTAATCAATGTCCCATCAATTGATTCTAACTGACTCTTGGATAATAACAAAATTCAGAGAAGCCCTTAAATTCACCTCCTTAATCATTTTTCTCTTTTTTCAGCTTCGTTACCCCCCTCACATTCCAACTAAGGAACTTCATCAAGACCTTCTACCATTCTCCCTATCATAATTAATGTTACATTGTAACCTTCTCAACTCTATCTCACCCTTGTTCTTTCTCCTACAGTAGAGTGTAGACTGTTGGAGAAACTCTCACAGTAATCTCTTATCCTCTAGAATGGACTAGCTTAAAGCCCATTTTTCAAGAAGGGTCTGTGCAACTTGATGTTCTCTCTCATTTCCCAATAGGTTAGCAATGTAAGATTAACACTAATTGTATGCTTCAAACAAGATCTCTTGCTTGTCTTTATTTGCATTAGTGTGGTACGTGTCAAGATTCTAGTGAAACTTTAGATTATTGGTCTGTAGATCATCGATCCTTGCGTTGCCTGGTTTCTTTGCCTTTATAGAATAAGCTGTTTTTTTAGGTACGTTTGAGTTAGACGGCTCCCCAATTCTTTTCTTCTATGTTTGTTGAGGACTTATAGGAGTTTTGGAAAAAATAAAAATGGAGGCACTTCGTGGAATCGTGTGACTCTAGTTGTTGGAAAAGAATGCTAGGTTTTTTACAATAGATGTAAGCTGGTGGAAGATTTATAGGAGCATATATATTTCTTAGCATCTTGAGTTTTGGTCACTAAGAAATTTCGAGGAACTCCTGACTCTTGGTTGAGCTTTTATGTTACAAAGCAATGTTTGTGGATTAGATGTTTTGTCAACTTTTTTTGTTGTTTATCCTTATTCTTCACAAATTATTAATCAATAAATTTAATTTTTCTTTTCAAAAAAAAAAATGAAAAAAACCAGATGCTCGGGCACGGGCACGGGACACGTAGACATGACATTTCTCAAAATAGTCGAACACGAATGCAAACACCTTGGGGATACTCTATAGATAATTGTGTTTTGCATATCAAATTATATAATTTATCACAAAAATATATTGAGAATGATATATTATTCGTGAGAAATTTAGTAATTTATTATAAGTAATTGTTCTGATACAATTTTTAGACTAAAACATTATAATAGTCAATCATCAATTATTTTTAGACTATGTGTACCCAACATATATGATTTAAATGATTGTTATTGATTTTTTATTTTCTCTTTTTAAAAATTTTTATACATTTTTTGTTTTTATTTTTATATTTTGAGTACAACTTTAACATGTCTAGTTTTGGTAATTATATGTTTTGTTATAATATAAGATACTTATAGTCAAAATTTTAACCTTTAGTAATCACTTGTCAACACATGTTTATTATTTAGTAGTAGGTATGATGTAAAGAAGTGCGAACACATCATCAAAAAAGTTTCGAACACGTGTCTGAAGAGTGTTGTCCGATACGTGTCCAACACGGATACATTACCTTCTTGAGAGTGTCCATGCTTCATAGCTCCTGATTAGAAAGTAAATTTGCTTTGTCCTTTGGAGAAACATTAGCCATAAAAAAAGTAAGAATCGAAAAGGTGATTATAGATGCCCAAGTGTCTCCGACTTTAAGCCGGCATAATTTAACTTAATCACCAAAAAACGGAACATCCTTGTATAAGATACCATCTGGCTTTTCGTCTAATGGAGCAGGCGTTGTTTTACCTATTTGCATCTTGCACGCTTAGCAAGCTGGCTGTAAGCTTGTGCTCATCTTGTTAAAGAAACAAGCCTTGAAATTTCGTATGAGCTTGGCATTAGGTTCATGTATGGGCTCAAGCAAACTATGCAGTGAGTCTGAATTGGCTAATGCGAGTCATTTTTATATACCTGGAAATGGGACATAAACCCATTGATTTTTGCTTGTGTTTGAGGTTTGAAGTTTGAGGTTCGCGTTTGTTTTCTCTTGAATAATGTATCGCCTTTATTTGTATTTCATTCTTCTGTGTTAATATTTTGCTTAAGTAATTTCTTTTCACCAGAAGATACATCATCGTGACAAGCAAACTAAGTGGATCTAGTTTCTAGAAACTCCTTGTCGATGTAGACAGTATGTGATTGATCTAACTACTTGGTTTAGACCAATTGTGGATTTACATTGGCCTCTTACTCGGCTAAGACTAACCACTGCTAGCATTGCATGTGCAAAAACACTGATTTATGAGATTGTAACAGCTATAGGCAGGGCCCAATTGTCTCAATATCCTTTCTAATGACCTGATGGTATGATGGAGAAAAAGAGCAGTAACCCAATGTCAGGATACAACAGGTGTCAGGATACAACAGGTGCGGACAGAATACTTCTAAGTGCAAGTATTAGTTCCGCATACATAAGACATTGTGGGACTAAATTGGCAGCTTGCGTATAGGTCTATTGGGTCATGTCATGTTCTTGATATAATCTTATGATTTAGTGTGAATTTATTTTATATAATGTCATGGTCGCTGTTTTCAGATAATAGTTCCTCTGGATTAGGATTGCCTTTGTTTTTTTTTGGGAGGGGGGAAGGGGATTAAACCCTTGACCTCAAGAAGACAAAGTCTTCATAAGGCAAGGACTATCATTGGACCAAAGGCCCATATCGGTTGGATTAGGATTGCCTAAAGTCTGTATAAAGCCAAGTATTGTTGTCATACAATAGAGATCTAGTCATAAAAATTTCTTTACAGCAATTATCATTCATTTTAAGTTTTGTTCTGTAATTTCAACCTTGGGTGTTATTCTAGCACTTTTAACGCACCAAGATATGAAACTATTCTTTTTAGCCCCTAATATCCTATTTTTCAGAGCATTCGTTCCACCACAGATTCAAACCTAGCTCTTCGAGTGAAGGGTAGATAACCAAAGAAAGTGTTATGGGACTGTTCACCAGTACATTGATTAGTCAGAAAACACCATCTCAGTTTGCTTGATTCAAACTCAATCAATACGCCCTTTGTGTACCTTTCTCAAACCCTAAACCCAATTTTTTTATCCTCAATTTGGAGACAAAAGGAGCCCTACTAGACTCCCTAAGCCCCATGTTAATACTATTTGGTTATTCTAGCCTTAGATAATAGCTTTGCTTCTTTACTCTAATTTGTTTTGGACATTACATCTTCATATTGGTTATGGTTAAATTTGTGGTCACAAAATGCTCCATTGCATAAGGTTTACATGAGTTTCTAATTTTCTACTGGAGTCTGTGTAGAGCTGCGTCTTTGCAAGGAGCTCCTCAGGCTTTGCAGAGTTTGTCACTTGAAGAAGGATTGATGCACCTTGGTTTCAGTAAGTTTGCTTAAAGGATGTTGTGATTATGCCTATATTGAATGAAGATTTCATGTTCTGATCTCATTCTTACAATATGTTTATCTTTTATTCCCAGCTGCTTGTGGTTCAGCTGCTGCATGGAGACTTCACTATTATCAGTGGGCAATGCAGATGTTTGAGCAATATAATATGTATGAAGCTGCTTGCCAATTTGCTCTTGCTGCACTTGAGCAAGTTGATGAAGCTTTGGCTCCTAAAGATGGCCTGCTCGAGGCAGATTTTGTTAATGAGTCAGCAACTTCTGTGAAAGGACGATTTTGGGCAAATGTGTTCAAGTTTACCTTGGATCTTGGTTATTACTATGATGCGTATTGTGCAATAATTTCTAACCCAGATGAAGAAAGCAAGAATATTTGTTTGAGGCGTTTCATTATCGTTCTATTTGAGCGTGGTGCTGTAAAGGTTCTCTATCATTTCTTTTTCTTCTTTGTTCAATTCTGGCTTTTTGTAGTTTTCAGCATTTACACTTCCATACCTTTTCCCCCGTTAAAGCAGAGTTTGCTGGATAAGTAATGGGATCACTCCATGTGAAGAATTTATTTTGGAAATTGCTCTTTGAAGACGGTGTGAAGATTTGTCTTGTCTCTCTAAGTGTAAAGCTAAGAAAATGCAGATGTTTTCTGATAACTGCCCAGCTCCGTTAGAGCGGTCTTATTTATTTATTTCTACTATTGATATGAAAGCACCATTCTTTCTGTTCCTCACATGAAATATTTTCCATTGTATTGAGTAAACTATATTTCCTTCTCTTGTTTATGCTAAGTTACATACTGATGGTATTGAGTAAACTATATTTCCTTCTATTGCTTGTGCTAAGTTGCATACTGATGTCCCCTTCAAATGTAATTCTGCACGAGTTGAATCTATACACAATTTTTTCAGTATGGAGTAGCCTGACACATGGTTCTAGTTGGTTGCATGTAGATTATTGCCTTTCTTTTGATGTTATAGAAGGAACAGTTTCCTGACTATATTACTTATGGTTGATTTTGTCGTGTTTGTTTTTTTAGATTCTTTGTGATGGTCAACTACCTTTTATTGGTTTAGTAAAGAAGGTAGAGCGAGAGCTTGCTTGGAAGGTGTGTATTTTTTCTAGAAAGAACATTGTAGTTTTCTTAGATATTCATTTGACTGGCTATAATTTCGGACATTGTGTAGGCGGAGCGCTCAGATGTTTTAGCAAAACCAAACCCATTAAAACTGCTTTATGCATTTGAGACTCACAGACATAATTGGCGAAGGGCAGCAAGTTACATTTATTTGCATTCAGCACGATTGCGAACAGAAGCAGCCTCAAGAGATCACCAGCGCCGGTCCACAAGTCTGCAAGAGAGGCTGGATGGGCTATCTGCTGCTATTAATGCACTACAACTTGTTGATCCTGCATATGCTTGGATTGACCCTTTACTTGAAGAAACCTCTCTTCACAAAGAAAGTTATCCAAGTAAAAAGGCTAAAATATCAGTGCAAGAACAGTGTAAATCATTGTTTGACAAAGATTTAATTTGTAGCTACCGTATTTGCAACATTTTATGACCATGAATAGTAGATTTTCTTATTATTTACTTCTGACAATAATCTGTTCTATTTTCTGCTTCAGCTGCTGGCAATGATGCTCAGCCTCAGAGGCTGCTGTCTTATGTAGATATTGAGAAACTTGACAATGAATTTGTGTTGACATCTGCAGAATATTTGCTCTCATTGGCAAATGTAAAGTGGACATTTACTGGTATGACTTATGAGTATGTGTAGTTCTTTGTGTATGTAATGTTTTGAAGCATGTTGGTGACCTTAAACAAAAATCAAATGCTACTTGGAATTTAAGACTAAGCTATGTTAGAACCAAAGTTGAAGCATTAGACGTTGTATACCTTACTTAACCTTTGACTTTGACAATGTAGCCCATTTCCATGAGCCACTGATGTTTGATGTAAATGAAAATATAAAACTGAAGACCTTCCTCTACTGGAGAAACACCTCCTACAATGATAACTAAAAATGAGAAAACTAGGCATATGAAGCAATCTGATATGTTTGACTGAAATTTGTTGGAATCACATTACTAGTGATTATATTTCTTCTGTTTTTTATTTTTTTCCTTCCAGGGAATGAGATGCCTCCACCAGAGTTAGTTGACCTATTGGTCCAGTCAAATTTGTTTGACATGGTCTTCACAGTTCTTCTAAAATTTTGGAAGGGCTCAGGATTGAATAGGTGTACTCCTGTTTTCAACTTGGACAAACTAACTTCTGTGTCATGACTCATGATGCTTCCTTAGTTTTCTTTTGCTTGATTGCAACATATAAGATGGCTCTTCCTTTCAGGGAACTGGAAAGAATCTTTGTTGCAATAGCATTGAAATGCTGTCCCAGCAGTGTAGGTCCCTTACCAGTTCGGTAAGATATTTCACGTGCTTCTTTATTGCTGCGTTTTGTTATTTTCTTTTAATATAAGCATATATAGGCCTGTTCAAATGTCTTTCAAGCTATAAAATTGCCTGGCAGTTGTGGAAATAATGCAACGTATGCCTTTCAGGAATGATCATAGAGTGCATGGTCTTCTTCTGAAATCATCACAGGATGAAGTGACTGTTCATAGTTCACTTGATGTGGATCCTTCAACACAACCACCCAAGTGGAATAGCCAGTTGGAAACACTTGAACGCTATCTTGTTCGTATTTCTATCTTCCTCTGTTAAAAGTACTTTTTATCTTTCTTGGATGAAAGCATGGAATGGTCCCTGGTTTTAATATGCTTCAAGATAGTAGTGTCGTGAAATTGAATATCGTATGTTCGTTGATACTTGGCTATTAGTTAGTGCTTATTTCCATGACTTGTGATGATGGCAAATTAGTGATGTGTCCTGGGTTAACATACAAAAATTTTAAATATTAGTGCTCGCTTATAGGAATGTAAATAGTTAGTTATTGTTGTTTAGTTTTGCTGATGGTGCTGTATCTTGTTGAGAACCTGACTCCATATGACCTAAAATTACTAAAATTCAGATGCTAGTAGATACAGGTACAAGTATTCATTTTAATTATATACTATTTATCTCTCTTTCTCTTTTTGTTAGTCCCTTCTTGAACTTCAAAACATTCACCAACATTCATCAAAGTAGTGTCCTCAGGAAGGAGTGCATCTTCTTTTTCATTGATCCACTCATCATCAGATTCCATATTTGAGAAAGAAATAGGATCATAGGAATCACCCTCTAGTATTCTCTTTTGGTGTTTTGCCTCCAATCGAAGATTGTACTTCACAAACACAAGTGCACTTAATCTTTGCTGCTCTAATCGATTCCTTCTCCTAGAGTGCACCTGGTCAAATGTACTCCAATTCCTCACACATCTTGTGGCCCTACAAGTCAAGCTAAAGATGTGGATAGCGAGTTGTTACAACTCTGGACAACATCCTCCAAATGATTCCTACCATAAGGCTATAAAAAATTACAATAGAATATTGCATTAACTAACTTAAACAATTGCATTAAATGACTAACTTAAGTTAGGTTAGTGGTTAACTAACTTAAACAATTGCATTAAATGACTAACTTAAGTTAGGTCACCACTAACCAGGTTGTTTCTTCTTCCTCATTTGGATTGTCATGTCCATTCCAAACATCAAATCAGTATTGTGAAAGATATCTAATTGTTTATCAACTTTTTCTCTCACAATACGACTTGGGCACATTCTCTGAATAGTTTGATAAAATTTCATCTTTATTTCATAGTCCGCACTACTGTTAATGTAATGAAACTTGAAATATTTATTTTGATTTACAATAATCATTGATCAGTATACAATATATAGATATAAAATGATATAAAAATTGAGAAACTTAAATCTTACGCTAGATTGAGATAATAGGCAGCTGCATGAAGAGGTCTATGTAATTGCATGTTCCATCTAGTGTCAACAATAGTCCATATGGGCTCATAGTGCTTCTTCACATTTCAAAAATTCTTTTGAATTTGTTCCTTTACCTTGTAAATATACCCCATGGCAGACTTTAAATCCCCATCTACAAGCCTTAACACCTTCACCAATGGCAACACACACTTAAAACAATACTTGATTGATCTCCAAAAATTTTGGTCAGCTAGTATAATATTCATCACTTTTACACCATCTTCCTTCTTAGAGTATTGACTTCTCTGCCATTCTTTTGAAGCAAACATTGCTCTAAGCCCAATTTTATTCTCAAATAAACTCCTTAAAGTTAAATATGAGGTAGCAAATCTGGTCACACAAGCTCTTACTAAATCCCTTTTTTTTGTATACTTTTTCATAAGATTTAACACCCAAGAATGTCTATAAATGTAAACTGTGATTTTCTTTGCCTTTGCCATTATATCCTTGTATAGAGGAAGGTCTCCAATATCCGTCAAAATAAGATTTAGACAATGTGCAGCGCAAGGAGACCAAAACAACTTTTTCCTCTTTTCTATTAACAACTCTCTAGCTTTTACATAAGCCGATGCACTATTAGTCACTACCTGAACAACATTGTCCTCATCAATCTCTTCTCCCATTGAATCTAAAAGCTGAAAAAGATTATCCGCATTCTTACAAATGCCTGAAGTGTTAATACTTTTAAGAAACACACTTCCTCTAGGACTATTCACTAAAAAATTAGTGATAGAACAATGTTTCCCATCAGTCCATCCATTAGACATAAGAGTACAACCCGTCTTTCTCCACTTTGCTTTATAATTTTTCATCAACCCATCATTAATCAAATCTATTTTTTTTTTCAAAAAAGAACATCTCACCTCATGATATGATGGAGGTTTCAATCCCTTGCCAAACATTGCAACAAATTTTAACATTCTTACAAAATATGGATCCTTTACCAAATTAAAAGGAAGGGCATTAACATAAAAACATCTACAAATATCCAAGCATACATCTTCCCTACCCTTTTTCTTCAACATGGTATTCAAAGTAATGGTAGTGGTTGATTGTATTTTATTAGCAGTAGTACTACCCACATTGCCACTACTTTTCGAATCCACAAGACTCGTATCTTTGCTAGAAGTCCTATTATCCAACAATTGCTTAAAAAATTTAATTATTTCTTCAGGGCAATGCTTACATGACGCTATATTTTTACGACTACCTGCCAAATGATTTTTCATTCTTGAAATGCCACCCTAATAGATATTTGCATAATAAATGCATTTCAATTTCAACCTTGATCCTTCAACTTTGTCACAATGTTCCCATTTGGGATCATTAGGAAGTTTTTTAGTCATTTCTATATGAAAATTGGATGCTGGTGATACCACTGTTCCACAAAATTAAAAATAATCAAGATTCAAAAATTTTTATACAAAAAAAAAAAAATATACATATATTTGGCTTTGTAAATAAATTAGCATCACATTTCTTACACCGCACTGGACCACAGGTTTTGATGGAGACTGAGAAGAAGAAGAAGAAGAAGAAGAAGAAGGGAGCTTCGATGGAGTACCTGGAGAAGGAAGAAGGCAGGTTTGATGGAGATTGGGCTTCGATGGAGGCAGCGATCACCCACGAGTCGTCGAAGACCGGCGAACGTCGTCGAAGGAAGTTGAAGAACACCCAAAGTCGAAGACCCAATGAACGTCGTCGAAGGAGCCTGAAGAACACCTAGAGACCCAGAAGACCAGCGATGAGCGAACGACGAAGAAGAGAAAAGAGGGATTTTATTTTATTTTATAACCCTAGCCACTGAAACGACGTCGTTTCAGTGGTTATAGGGATTAAAAAAAATCAAACTCTTGGTAAAAAACGACGTCGTTTCAAAAAAAAAAAAAATCTTTTGCATGTATCGCACTGATACATATCGTATCGTACAAACGTATCCTGTATCGGACGATACAACGTAAAAATAATACATAACTAAGATCTGTATCGTTTTAGGCCAATATTGTAACGTATCGTACGATATGTATCGCGTATCATACGATACTAACAACTATATTTAGAATATGTAACTCGTTCAGAACATATAACCCATCCTTTCTATTGGGTGTCTCAATCAACTTCTTGGAGCGTAGATCCAGCACAACACAACCAGAGGAAGAAAAATGCACTGAAAATCCTGAGTTAAGTAATTGACTAATTAAAATCAAATTGAAGGTAAGCTGTGGAATATAATAAACATCAGGAAGTGTTAGTTGTGATGAAACAAGAGACCCAATACCGGCCAAGGTCATTTGAGTACCATTAGTTGCGAGCACATATATAGATGGAGGAGAGAAGGTAGATACAAATAAAGAAGAATTACTTGTCATGTGATGTTTAACACCTGAATCAAAGACCCAAGTGGTTTGAGATATACCTGAAGAACCCGAAGTGAACGAACCTATTGAAGGAGAGATTGAGAAAATATTAGGCTACTGGAGAATAATAGTCTGAAGAAAATCAATGTTTCGAATAGCCATAATTGTAATTAACCCAAATCTATAGCCTAAAGCCCCAAAACCCAATGTAAGAACCACTAAAATCCAAAAAGATCAAAATCCACAAGTGAAGACCACTCCAGCAGCCAAGGCAACTAGCAAACCTGGGGATGAGACCTGTAGTCCAACAAAACAGTGGCAAAGTTCGAGACCAACAAAACATACAACAATCAAATTACTTGGCCAAACAATTCAAAGTTCATCACAAAGCAACTCAACAGTTTACAAATTAAATACCTATAACCAATTATGGTTTCTTATACAACAATACAACAAAAATGGCACTAAATATCAAAATTTGGCACTGTTCACAACATGAATAGTAACTTGGTATTGTTCACAGCATGTAAACAGTAATTTTGGCACTATTCGTGGCCCTTAGAACCACAAAAAGTCAACAACCCATCAACCACTAGCTTTCAAATCACACAATCCAATACTAAGAACCTTTTGTCGCACTACTTAGGCTTGGTTTGAAGTAAGGAAGTCGAAGAAAATAGCAAAATATTGTCATAGATGATGTCAGCCCTAATCTAAGAACATATTTTTTCTTCAACTAAATTATTGTGGTGCTACAATATGTTTCGGATCGAAACTATGCTTTGATACCATAAAAACTTTGGTCAAATAAAGAAAAACAAAAGGAGAACGAGAAAATATTATTATTGTTAAACAAATCTGTCATGCGACTTAGCCTAAAATACACAATATAAGCCATTATATAATAGGGCAACAAAGAATAAAATAAATGCCCAAACTACCCTTAATATTAATACTATAATAGTATGCACTGAATAGAAGAAGAACTGAAAGTCTTCTTTGTCAACGCTTAATTGGGGTCATTAACTGATTCATTCGAAATGTCTATTTCTGAAAGCTTTTCAGAACAAGTTTTATTTCGACGATAGATGTTAGCTAAGTTATAACTTTCTAAGTTTCTCTATGTGGTGTGATGTATCGTCTTACCATTAGAATTTAGTTTAGAAATGCAAGCTTCTTTTGAGTAATTTAAGATGTGTTGCTTCTTCAGTTCTTGGATATTGAGCATGAGGATTATAATGTTACTAAGATCTTTGAGAAGTAGATTTAAAGTCGATTACAAAGGTTTTTCCTTAAAGGTTTTGAGAGTAACTTAACAACTTACATTTTTGTCAAGGGTATGGGATATTGAATTTCATCAAAAGCTATGAGCTAGTGTCTATGTTTTTAAGGTAAAAAAAATAATAACACTTGTTGTATTAGAATATAGGTAAATTGCACTGACACCCATTGGTATTTAATTAAATTATAGACAATACTATTGTGGTTTCTAAAATTAATCTGCACCCCTTGTGGGTGGTTTCTAAAAGTAATCTTCACTTCTTGTAGGTTGAGTTTTTATTTCACGGCGTATCCCTCCATCGGTGAATATGTAAGGAGGCCAACCGAATTTGTTGATATTAGCCCACAGTGTTACACAAATACCAATTTACCATCACAAAATAGAAAAACGAACAGCCCAACCCAAATCCAAACCAAACACATGATAATAAAAAATTTGAAACCCCACAACTTCCTTTAGCCACCACCAACCCCCATACATCGCCATGGCTAACACACACACACCAACCCCCCCCCCCCCCCCCCACCACTCCCCAACAAAACAGATTGTCCTGCCAAAACCCCGTTATAACTTTTAAAAAAACAATAGTCTACCACCACCACAACCCGCACACTCTTGCCAACACGACACACACTGCCCGAGTGTTATTTAGGGCACAAGGGGCACTAAGGCGCCAAGGTACCTTGGGAACTAGGCGCAAGGTGAGGAGCTGACCTCATCAAAGTATGGCTCATGTTATAGGTAGCATGCAGATGATTTTTCAGAACCTGGCATTGCATAAAAAACACATTATAAGCAAAAATTAAAATTTGAAACATTATGAGAGTTTTAACTTTTTAAATTTTCTGATCGTAGGCTCCTTACATAAACAAATGCATCATTTTTTTCAATAAAAGCATAGACAAAGCTCGTGTTTCAATCCTTAATTTCTCGAATGCCAATCTGTATGAATCAAAGCATTTAACTGGCAATTCCACAAAACCAGTTTGGTAATTCACAAGAATAGAGCTACATCATTATTAAAACCTAGTCAAAACAAGCAATTGAGTCCTAAGAATACGACAAGTGACATGTGAATTACTTGAGCAAGAACAAATTTCATGTTTACTTGAGTAAAAAAATACTTGTTTCCAGAGCTCAAATAGCAATTGGGTTTCAGACCCCACATCTAACCCATAAAGAGACCAGAAGAGACAAAGACACAATAGAGAGGAGCACGCAAAAGAACAAGGGGAAAGAAAGCAAGAGAAAAAGAAAAATGGGAGAGAATCAACTATAGAGGAAGATAAAGATGAAAAAAGAAATATAGATAGATGAAAAAGAATTAATAAAAGAAGAAAGGATGAAGATGACGAAATGATCTGGTCGTGCATCTGTTGGTAGTGTTGACTGTGTTATTCGAATGACCTACACGATCATTACTCAGACAAGGGGAGAAGATTCAACCATTCAAGCATCAAGAAGATTTAGTCGCTGCCTTCAGGAAGGATTGGATGCAACCAAATCAAAGAAAACCCTCCAAATAAGTTAGACCGAAAACTTTTGACCCAATTTTTGGAAAACATTTACAAAATCAAAAACCTTACCAAACGATTTCAAAACCAAAAACGAACCATGCTAGGTTGTAGTCCATTGAAAGTCGAGCTTGATGGTGTGTTCAACTGCTCCAAGGTGACTCCAACATGATGTCATAATCTATCAAAATGACATCACTGCACAATCACTGCTTTTGTTTTGGCTAATTCCACAGTATTTTTTTTTTTTTTGCTGATTGATACTACAATGTTGCGAATGTGTTTAGGACCGAAACACACTCTGATCCCATGTATACATTGATTAAAAAAGGAAGAGAGAAGCGAGAGCAGAGATAGGAAGAAAATATTATTACGACACACAAGTCCGTGCAACAGTCTTACCCTAAGATATGCAACAGAAACCCTTATAAACGACTAAACTATCCCTAATACTAGAATACTAACATTTAGGTTTGAAATTGCATGTGTATATTTGGTTGGACTAAGAGGTCTTCCTCATGACAGTGAGGGAGGCAGGGTGGTGGAGGAGGCAGAGGGTGGTATTTTGTGTCGAAGACAAGTACAAAAAGATTTGGTTTGTTGGCAAACAAGGTTATGTTTGTATGTGGCGTGTATGGGGTTGTTTGGAAGCAAGTTTGGGGTGGTTTTCCATTGTGGGAAAAAAAAGTTTGGGGTTGTTTGGGAGTGGAGCTGGATTTGTCTATTAAAAATATAATTTCCGTTGAGTATATGGTTGGAAATGAAATTTAGGCCTTATCTAGGAAACTCGGATATGTACGTATAAGAATTGAATACATATTGAAAACGCTGAAAAATACAATTTCAGTTTTGGATATGTCTTGGATACGTATGGATACGAGATGGATATGGTCAGATACAGGACTGGTATGGTTGGGGCAAACAAGTGAACTAAAATAACCACACTAAAATTCAACCCAGAGTACGGATCCTATGTCGAATCAAAGCAAGGTTGAATCTTTGGAACTTAATGTTTTGAAATCAAATTCAAATCAAAAGAAGACATTAACATGTGTTGGGTTCAAAGGCTGAAGGCTCACCAGCATTGGTTATATCAATGGAGCTCTCCATAGGTACCCTACAATCCCTTATTTCCACCATGCACTAACAACTTTCTTGTCGGAACAAAAGGTTTGAGAAATTTAGAGAGAGAATCTAGAGGGAGAGTGAAAGAGAGAAGCAGACTATATTCAAAGATAGATGCCTGAAATCTCGGAGACAACGAAGCTTCGAGAGATATGTGAAGAAGAAAAAGAAAGGCAGTAAAGCTAGGTAGTAGTCCGCGTGAGGGGGCTGTTAGCTACATGATTGCTCTCCATTTGCAAGGCTGTTACCATTCTCTTGATTGCTCTCCAACTAGCAAGTCAGAGTTGTTTTTATGAGTCTTTTAACTGTTACTATTTAAAATTAATTCCAAAATGTAAATAAATAAAACTCAATTCTATTACAAACATATCCTAGCAGTACTTGTATCTATCCTCGTTTTTTATATTTCGATGAATCTCCATGGCCGTATCATATCTTACCTATATTTCGTATCCATGCTTCCTAGGGCTTTATCTAGGGCCTAAAAGAAGAAACAAAAAGCTTGCTGCTGTGCTCCTTTTGTTTTCTTTGTCTCTTTTTTGGGTGGGGGTGGGGAGGATAAACTATGGGAGGCAATTGATGGGACAACTTTTGTTAATTCATTCTTATTCTGGATTACAACTAATTAAGGCGTATGTTATTTATTAATACCTGCATTTTTTCCCATCTTTCACTACAGGAAAAATATGTAGGATTTCATCCTAGATTGCCTATAATTGTGGCGGAGACTCTTCTTTGTGCTGACCCTCAGATTGTATTGCCTCTTTGGTTGGTGCATATGTTCAAGGTAAATATTCCAAATATACTCAGATAATTGGCTTGCGATTTGCTTGTGTTTGCTATATTAGGGGCTCTCTTGTTGAGTGTGTTATGCCTACAAGCCCATCCATCCTTCTATACTCTATGTCACTCATATTGCCTTCGCCATCTGATCAGTTTCACTCTTTTTTCCGATAATAACCCAATGTACTGAAATGATATTATATCCTCATCCTTGTCAATGTGGGAACGACTTGTGGAACTTCAAGCTGTATGACTATTTGCTGAGTAATGAGTTTTCTCAACTTAATTTCTGCACACAACCTGGACTCTAAACAACATGATAATTTGCCTTCTTTCAGTTGTATGTGAACGTGTATGAAGTTTGTTTTATGTGATTAAAGCTATACTCTACGTTGTCACAGAGTGCTCGAAGTGAAAGTACTTGGGGGATGACTGGCAATGAATTGAACTCTGCGTCCTTGTTTCAACTTTATGTTGATTATGGTCGATACGCAGAAGCTACCAATCTACTGCTCGAGTACATCGAATCCTTTGCAATGCTGGTACATATATCATCTTTCCTTTTCAGACATAACATTTATAAAAGCAACAGCACCTTGAAATGTTTTTCCTCTTGCATCCAACGATTCTAGTGGTGCTTCCATTACATTGTTTAGTCCATGAGAGATCCTTGCCAAACCCTTATCGGTGGGACCTGGTTGAGTTGCTGCCTAAAGTTCCAGGCACATACAGCCTTCTTAATGATGCTGGTTGGCCCTAGAACCTTTTGTTCTTAATTTCAGAACAACTGATGTTATCCCATTGGATTTCAAATTATCAGAGTGGTGTGTCAATTTTTTATGAATATCCAACTGTTGATATTGGTCTACATATCAAGATTTGTAGAGAGAGATCCATTAATTGGTATAACAGTGCCAACTGTGAATAGATTGTGAAACTTCATTAAAATTTGGTAATTTTTCAATCCATTTGAAAGTGTTAAAGATTGTATTTACAATAACAATCTGATTGCTTTCCTTTATTGAGTTGATCGTGAACACCTACCTATCCTGTATTTTTCCCTTTCTGTTAGAATGAAGGGATGACACAGAAAGAATATGAGTGGACCAGTTCTCCCCTTCACGGAAAAGGGAGACATGGATTGATTTATGTACTGGATCCTTCGGGACTGACTATGGAAATTCTTAAATTTCATTTTTTCGTCAGTAGAATTAAATATTACCTGGGATTAATAATAGACATAACATTTCTAATAACAATATTGGACTCTTATTTGTTCGTTCATCAAGCTTTTTCTTGCTAAACCAATCTTAGAAAATATTCTTCTTGGAAACTCAAGAGGCAGTTTGCATTTATATCTTGGATTTGTGGTATAGTGAAAATCTTAGAAAAGGGAACAAATGCTAACAGTCAAAATGATTATGGTTATACCTTTATCATGGGCTTGGTGTGGTTTAACCCAGCTTTTGCAATAAAGACCATCTCTGAAAGAATTGAAAATTATGTATTTAATCAAATAGTTAGTTGTTGTAGTTGGTTTTGTCAGCATGCCATTAATATAGAATTTAAGTTCGAAGATGTCTCAAATATTAGATATTGTGTTCATATCTTGAGATCCATGTGGTGATTTTGAGCTCTACGTAATTACTGAAAATGTTGTTCCATTGCTTGAGCTGCTGTCTTGCGGAAAAAGGTGCCCTGGAAACTGGATATTTTAACATGTGGCCATGGTATATAGCAGAAACATTGCATCAATGCTTGGTTCGGCCCTTTTAAAGATGTCAACAGAAAATTGGATGTATTGCACCTAGGATTTGTTCCTGGAAATATTGGTATGGATATTTTATTTTCCCTCAATAAATGGCTACCATATTGAGAAAGAATATTGAAGTAGCCTCAAATCACAAAAATCTTACATCTGATTTTCCACTGTACATGGTGATATCGCTCCTTTTTTCCCTGGCAGTCCCATGAGGTGCTGGAAGGCTCCTTGATTTTTATGTTTTTTTTAACATGCCTTAAGTTTATTTATTTATTTATTTTTCGTAAGTGCTGCCTGAAGTACTGAAGCAAGTGTTCCATTTGCAGAGACCAACAGACGTTATTTGTCGGAAAAGGCCATCTGCAATTTGGTTGCCCTATACAGCGATTGAACGCTTGTGGTGTCAACTCCAGGAATCAATTAGATTAGGTCACATGATTGATCAATGTGAAAAGCTGAAAAAGTTGTTGCATGGGGCTCTGCTAAATCATCTCAATCTGGTATGCTATAATCTTCTGACAGCTTCTTTTGATCAGTCTGCTCCCACATGTGAAAGTCAGGTCAACATTTTTTAATAATTCAGGTAAAAGTGGACTCCGATGATGTGAAGTCTTCTGCAGCCTAGATTACAGATACCTTAATGTGGTTGAGCCTCAGTCCCATGGTGCTTCGATCAGTAACAGCTTCCTCTTCCGAGGAAGTGTGGGCAAAAAGATGATTTAAGCGGGCCTCTTATGACAAGATTAGCACCATGTCATTGATAAGTTGCTCTGATCAAGAATTTGTCATCTTGTTGCCAGTAGAGCCAGCAGCTGCAATGACGGAAGTCTCATGCATTGGACCGCCCTTTTTTCTAGCTCTATCACCACATGTGGGGCAAGATACTGAAAAGAGAGGACACCTGTTGTTGTATACAGTTATTTGCAGCTTGATCTTGCACGGATGAGGGTGCAGTCGGTGGATTTTTTTTTTTTTGGTTCAATTGTTGCTCATAACTCAGGTTGTCAAATAATAGATACTTGATTTTTGTTTATCTTGCCAGAGTTACTACTCTTGTAAAATTTGAAGATTGATTCTTGATTTTCAGATATGTAATTGTATCTTTATTGTTTCTCCAAAATGTTTCTCTTTTTTGGGATGTTCGTTATGAAATGTTGTATGGCTGCCAATGACTTTCTGTATAATCTAATGTTTACTGGCATCAGTGTTGTTTCTATGTATTTTGCATGCAGAAATGTCACAGCTACGAGTAAGAAAAGTGAATGAGGTTTGTGGTTCACGAGTTTATGTATCCTTAGTTGGCTTAATGTATGGTGTTTTTTTCCACATGCTGAGTTTAGAGATCAGAAAGTTCAATGTTGATTACGAGGTGGACTCCAAAAAACAAGAAAGACCATGTATAAGGCCTGTAGTGTTGCTCAAAACAAAGAATGAGTAGCTGCCACGTCTAATTATGTTGCAAACCCACCTTCAAGATTTCGGGCTAGGAGCCTCTTATAATTTCTTAGAGGTGTAAAGACGAGACATGATCGATCGTAAATTCATTTTCTGGAGAGATTAAGGGTTTAAAGAATCATAGCTATTCCAAGTATTGAGGAAGCTGCAAGGGGGAAAATGATTAATTTACTACTCCTCATATCCAAAAGCCGAGGAAATGTCATGTTAACTAATTTGGAGGTGTTTCTATACGATGGCACTGGGTTGGGATGATAGGATCTGCATGGATACAATAGATGGAGTGGGTGCTTACAGAGTAGGATTGTATATATATATTTTTTAATTTTTTTGGGGGTAGTGGGTAGGGATGTAGTGGACCGGAAAAAAATAAATATTTGTTCAAACACGTTTCGTTTAGACCGAGAATGAATCATACGTATTGGACCGTTGACGTATACAGGGATGCCCATATAAATCTGTGTGGAGATAGAGGTGGAGATGGACTGAAACTCATCTCCTCCCCGCCTCTGCACTTTCCCATGCCCGCTAAACCCGTGATATATATATATATTTATCACAAATATACAAATTTCATTCATCCTCTCATCCACTTATTAATCTATAATATAAAACATGATAGATTTCAATAAGTTTATCTAACGGTCTCAAATAGATTTATTTAATGGCTACCAATATCCCTTTCAAAATCATTTACATTACATCAAGGCACGGGTTAACCCTAGTACATACGTATAATATTACAAACCCCACCCACTCACACACTATTTTCTTTTCCAAAAAAGATAAAAACTTTACTCTCTTCTTTTTTTTTTTTTAATCTATTTGTTATATAATTGGGGTTTCATTCTTCATGTAGAACCATTTGTGAGGTTTTATTAAATTTTTTTAACCTTTTTCTTAAAATCATAGAAATTAATTGTTATGGATAGAAATGGCGACAGGGACGAGGACGGGAGTGGGGACGGGGACATCGATTAAAATTTATCTGTGGAGCAGGGACGGGGATTAAAATTTCTTCCGCTAACGAGGATGGACCAGGAATGGACAAATATTTTTGAAGTGGGAATGAAGGTGAAAACTATTCTCCCCGCCCCCGCCCCAGTCCCTGCCATCCTAGTAGGCCTTCATGTTATTAATCTTATTGGCGTGATTCAATCCCATGATGGGAGTGTTGCAGAATTACCCTAGAAATTGAATTGAGATCAAAATTGACACTCAGTCAAATAAAATAAAATAATCACACAAGACACAAGTAATTTGCGTGGTTCGATTCTAAATCGTAATATCCTATGTGCATAGTAACAACGATAAAAAATGCAATTGGATCTCGCTGATATCACTCTGATATCTTACAACTCCCAAATGATAGAAATCTCTTAAAACCCTGATTATCCTCTGCCTGACGATCTCCTTCCGAAAGGTAGGAGAATACATCTATGCGCCTGATGCAAACAAGCCACATTTGCAATAGAAATAAAATGTTTTACTTACTACCCACGCATACTGGCCACCTTGGTCTAAAGTCGTTAAAGTCACATGAAAAAAAAACTCTTTACTGATGGTAGTCTCTGATACGCCCTTTGAGGCGATCAAACTCGTACAATATTGATCAAGTACAAACAATGTTTGAATTTTAGTCAACATATCAGCTAGATTATCTTTGGTGGCAACTTTCTGTACAAAAATCTCTTTGTCGTACATAATCTCATGGACAAAGTGAAACTGAACAGCAATATCATTGTTCTCTAATGATGAACTTGATGCTTTACCAAGTGAATGGCGCTCTAACTATTACAAAATACACAAACATGCTTTTGTGAAATTTTCAAGTCACCAATCAAAACCCAGAGCCCTAAAACCTCCTTGATATAGCCTTGGTCACTGCCACGTACTTTGCCTCAATTGACGTCAAAGCAACTATTGTCTCTAACATAGACCTCCAACTAATCGAACCATGAGTTATGTGAAAACATAGTCTATTGTAAACATTCGCTTTTTCAGGTCACCAACATAATCAAAATTCACAGAACCGCATAAATACGGCTTTGAACTATTGTCCCACACTACCACTGATACACCAATTCTATATTCAGAGTACCACGCAAATATATTAATAACTATTTCACAGTTTGCCACTGTTCTTTTTTAGGATCTACCATATTCCTGTTTACCACACTAACTACATGTGAAATATCTAGGCAAATGTACATCATAACATACATCAAGCTTCCAATTACACTCGCACATAGAACATGAGACATATACTCACGCTCTTCCTTGTCGCTTGGAAACATATCTCCTGAAAGTCTGAAGTGTGTAGCTAAAGGAGTAGTCACAGGATTTGAGTTCTCCATACCAAATCAAGAGAGTACCTTCTCTAGATACTTTCGTTACGACAAACACAATCTACCCTTCTTCTCGTCTCTATAAATTTTCATTCCAAGAATCTTCTTAGTGACACCCTAATCCTTCACCTCAAACTCTCTGCTAAGTTGAGATTACAACTGAACTATTTAGTAGCTTCTTAAAAGTACACATAATGGTCATATTTGTTGGGAATTAACTTTGCAGCAATTTGCTCAGTCCAACAACGAGAAAATAAATAAGCGAAATAAAGAAAATCAAAGCATAACTCACAACACCAAGATTTACATGGTTCAGCAAAATTGCTTTACCTACATCCACGAGACATGATCCCCGTCTCCTTTCTTTACTATTGAGAGAAAAATAAGTATAATCATACAAGCCTCACCACTCAAATCTAAATCTCAAGCCCAAGCCCTTAACGCCATGTACAACCTATTCAACCTTACCATCTCAAACCCCTAACAAAGAAAACCTCTCATACTCTCAACAAGAGAATGAAAATTGAATAAATACAATTTTCGGGATGATCTCAAAAATAAGAGACTCATGCCTATTTATAGGCATCTCAAGGTGGTAGCAGATGAACTATTTTACATTTAAGCAATACATTTGATTGCTCCACTTGTATCCTCCAATAAGATTTTAGTAATGACATTATCTACCAATTACGATGTAACTCTCATCTCATTCAAGCAATGAAATTGCTCCATTTGTATCCTCCAATAAGATTTTAGCAATGACATCATCTAATTAATCAAAATAGGTCTTTTTAGCAATGATGTCCCATAACCAATCAAAACATATGTTTTTAACACTGATGTCACCTAACCAATCAAAACAAAAATTTGAGCCACTGCCAACAAATTTGCACCTTGTCGAAAATTTCATAACCTCCACCTGAAACTTCAGGCCTGCATCTCAATTTGAGATGCCCATCCTCATGCCTTGGGATGCCTCGTCAGTCTTTAAGAGTGTGAAAGATTGATCAAGTCCAAGCAATGCTTGAACTTCTGTGTAGTCACTGGCTTTGTCAAAATATCGGTTGCATTATTATCTGTGTAATTTCATCAAACTTATCTTGCCATCTTCCAACCATTCTCTGATAGTGTGATACCTCATGTCGATGTGTTTCGTTCTGGCATGATAAACTTGATTTTTTGCTAAATGAATAGCACTTTTGACTGTCACAATACAACTTGAAGCTTTCCTGCTTCAATCCCAATTCCTTGAGCAATCTTGTCAACCACAAAGCCTCCTTGGCAGCGTCCGCCACTGCCATATACTCCGCTTCAGTTGTGGATAAAGTGGGGATTGATTGAAGCATAACTTTCTAACTGATAGGTCCACCTGCAAGAGTGAAAATATAACTTGTAGTAGACCTCTGCTTATCCAAATCACTTGCATAGTCTGAATCTACATAGCCCACAACCTGTCATGTCTCTGATACAAGATACCGAAATCTATCGTACCTGAAAATCCATTTAATTGCATTCTAGTGCTCATTTCCCGGATTGTCCATGTACTTGTTTACTACACTGACTGCATGTAAGATATCTGGCCGACTGCAAACCATAACATACATTAAGCTTCCCACTACACTAGCGTATGAAACTCGGGAAATTTTCTCTACCTCATCACCTGTAGACGGACCTAATCTAGCAGATAATTTAAAGTGGTTAGCTAGAGGTGTACTGACCGGCTTTGAATTAACCATGTTAAACCTCTCTAACACCTTCTCCACATATTTCTTCTGTGAAACTCATAGTTTGTCTTTTCCTCTGTCCCTTCGGATTTCCATGC